TTTACGTATATACTTTTTATCGTATAGAAACACATGACGCATGCGACCCATATCGTGGCCAAAAGGGAATACCGCTGTACCGCGAGAAAGCGATAGAGCGAGAAAGCGATAAAGCGAGAAAGCGATAGAGCGAGAAAGCGAGAAAGCGAGAAAGCGATAGAGCGAGAAAGCGATAAAGCGAGAAAGCGATAGAGCGAGAAAGCGAGAAAGCGAGAAAGCGATGTTCCCTCTCAGCCACCATACTTTTCACAGTATTCCAGTTATATCACGGCGTGTCAGCTTGATGTGGGAGGAAAGCCCGAAGTGATGCAGGTCTCAGACGTTTACCACTTCGGTGAAACCCAGGAGCACGGTTATGGTGCTGACAAACCTAGAAACATAATCGGGGCGAGCCGGGATTCGTACCCACAACCATAGGTTCGTAAGAGGATCGGGTGGTCAGGCTTGCTGATTTGGTTGATACATGTCATCGTATCCCAATTGCCTGGATCGATGTTCATGATGTCAATCACTGGATTGTCTGGTACAAAGTCGACTATTTACAGACCGCCGTCATATAGGAATATTGCTGTGTGCGGCGTTAAACGATCTCATTAAAATCAGATCTTAGTTCTCGCTGCCGCAAAACAAAGATCTGAGGACATCCCATTACGGGTCACGTCAGACCGACCTTTCGCGAACTCTGACCGACCAATGGAATTACTGACATTAGCCAATCAGAAGGCAGCTTTCTCGTGCTTTGCGGCACTAATTTCAAATTTGCGACTACGCTTCGAAACATATTTTGACAAATTCTCGATAAAAATTTGAAACCTGAACAAAAGAACATTCTCGAATGGCTATTATTTGGTCTAGATAGTATAGATTCAGTCGTTAAACCCGTAACTATCGTCCGGAATACCCCGTTTTAAAGTTTTCGAGGTCGTTCTGACGTGACCCCTAATGGGATGTCCTCAGATCATTGTTTAGCGGTGGCGAGAACTAAGATCTGATTTTAATGAGATTGGGCGTTAAACAACAAACAAACAAACAAACTTACACGCATCTGGCTCTGGGGTGGGAAGGACAGGTCGTCACACTACACGGGCGAGTGAAACAGGGGGTATATGGTTTATCTGGAGGACATCCTGAAGCTAAAACAAATAGAAAACTTGTTGATTAAGAAATAAAATAAAATAATGAAATTATCTTTAAACAATGTTTAAACCGTGTATTCAATTAAGTGATTGTATATCTTTGAATTAGTCCGCCGTATGACAGTTCAGTCGCCTCGCGTTTGCCTGGATTTTTGTTTGTCTTAATAATACTTATGAGTTATAGAAATTCATATACAATTTTAAATGGAATGATAGATAATGTTTCAGTTCTTGTATATATTATGTAGAGGCCATATTGTGCTTAAATAATGTAGTTGGTTATTCATACACCGCTCAATTCTGAAAATATCATGACAAAGGTGCCGTTGTACAAAACAACCTTAGCGCTAAGACTGCCGTAAGTCTATGTCACGATATGGGAGTTACGATCACCTTAGCACTAAGATTGCTTTGTACAACGGCACCCAGGGACCCTATTATATCGTGACTTTGTTGTATCGTTTTATCCCAAATACAAGTTGTTTTATAGGTACTGTTGCATAAGACTTGATTAATTATATCTGTAATAGCAAGCCTGTGATAGTTCGAAATAATATATAATAACATATCTACTTTATGGTGAGAGGGGTGGTGGTGTACCCTAGTTGTATAAGCGTTCGCTCTTCACGCCGAAGGCCCGGGCTGAATTCCCGACATGGGTACACTCATTCGTGACCAACTCGTGTTATTCCGGGACAAGCCGAATAGCGCTTCTTGCAGGTTACGGAAAGGGGCGAGTGGTGACGAATGGGGTACACTGTGTGAAACCCATTTCTGGTATACCCCGCCGTGATTACAGGAATATATATTTTAATATTGTTAAAAGCGGCGTTACATCACACTAACTCACTGTATGGTGAGTGAGTTATGTTTTGGTGCCGTTTTTAACAATAATACGTCGGACGTCACACACTGTGCAAAGTTGGGGAATCAAACCCGGGCCTTCGGCATTACTAGTGAACGCTTTAACCACTAGGATAGCTCACCGCCCACATTTACTTTAGAGGATATTGGGATCTTTTGAACAAAGGCGTGCACTGAATATGAGAGGCCCCATGGACGTATATATCTCTCAGGGGGATATGACTAACAAACTATTCAAGCTGTACTAATACAATCTACAATACGACCACCCAGCAACAGGTACATTTACCGTATTGAGTATAAACGATAAATGATAATAAACGTAAACTGATCCTTAACATATTCATTGACTCATATGATAGCAACATGTTTGTTGATCTGACTGAATATCGTTTCTACTGTCCTAACCAATTAAATTATAGAAACTAGATCTATGTGCATGTACTCATTTGCCTGAACAGGCGTTTAGTTGCCATAACCAATTAATTGTTGGTAATGAGAGATATACGAATTTAATTATCTGATTGAATGACGTACGAATTACATTTATCTGTATTTTTCTATTTCTTCGTACGAAAAATGATAATACAAAAAAATACAAAAAAGACTTACCCAAAAACGCACAACGTGCCAGTGACAAGCACACCAACACGGCAACAATGGTCTTCATGATGCTTAGATCAGATCGTCGGGGATGTCTTGTTAGGTCAACGTCGTAGAGTGTTGTTGAAGTCGTTGTCAACTCATGTAACCTTTCACTATTTCCATACGCACACATCACGTGGTGTTATAAAAGCGTGACCTCGTTTTCAAACCCTTACATATTATTACACCACATCAGTCTACCCATGGACACCATAGATATCCTTTAGACTGTACACCCGATTTATATCTGACGCATGTGTCATAGCTGGTATTATACTCGGTTAAGAGTCCGACCGAGATTCTACTTCACATGCATACACAAGTAGTGCTTTATATTGGATTTGTACCCGTCAACATGGTCAATACATTCAATGGGATTAATAGTTACTCGTTGATCAGTGACGCACGACCAGTGGTTATTGGCCCTATACATAATGCCCAGACAGTAAGTGCGCTTTTTGCACTGACGCGTCGTTTAGCAGTCCATTTCGCACTTGAGTTTATTATTACATTTTAAAAATGTGTTTTATGGTATTATTTTTGTAGATGTTTATCTGCAATGCACGATGTAGTAAAATATAGTATAGGACACGGAGCTTTATCTGTCGACACGTGGCTGCTCTGGGTTAAAATACGGGGTAGAATAGGTCTTCGGCAACCCATGCTTGCCGTAAAAGGCGACTATGCTTGTCGTAAGAGGCGACTAAGGGGATCGGGTGGTCAGGCTCGCTGATTTGGTTGATGCATGTCATCGATCCAAATTGCAAGATCGATGCTCATGTTGTCAATCACTGGATTGTCTGGTCCAGACTCGATTACTTACAGACCGCCGTCATATATCTGGAATATTGCTGAGTGCGGCGTAAAATAACAAACCAACCGTGTTAAAATACTAGTAGCGTGGTGAGTTGGGTGACTTTTTTTATTGCGTGTCATCGTGCCCCGACTGCGTGTATCGTTGTTCATAATATCAATCTCGGGATGGTTTACAAGCCGCCGTCATACAGCTGGAATATTGCTGAGTGAGGTGTACCAACAAACAAATCTGATTCTTAGATATGTGATTCTCGTGTAAGAATTCATGTTTTACCCTCGCTCGGGAAATACAAGGATTCTGATTCCTCTTTCGTAAAATCAGTATGACACACATTCTCGCATAATAAGCTCTAAAAATTACACACAAAACGTATTGTCACCTTTTTTACTTATCACTAAAAAGTATTAAATTCATGACAGTATATATAACACTGGTGTTACGTGCGTGAGTGAATAGTGTTGCAGAACGTAAAAGACTTTTTTCCAACAAAAGGTGAAATGGTTACGTCCTATATTGACCGCCATTCAAGAGTGTTTTTTGTTTTTATTTTGACATACGTAACTAAACTCGGAAAGACAAAAACAACTTTCAAAGTGATTCTGCATTTGCTATTTTAGTCCAGGGGTCATTAAACCATGTAATTTTAAGACAGCCACCAAAGTCATATGTATATTAATGGAGCATGGTTTTCTGGAGTCAATGACTGTAACATGTGAGGCAGGGGACCATATGTGACATTATAATAAAATACATCAATTTCCAGATAAATAGTGGAGAATATCATTAACAAAGTAATGTAAAGTGTCAATGGACAAATATTATGTTTTATAATCATAAACTGCAGGACAAAAAAGTCTACACTTGAAAAATTGGACTTAGCCAAACTGCTTGTAAAGTCGTGTATATTGCTCTACGGAAATTGTCTGTATTCCCTTGTGAACACTTTACCAATGATTGAACGATGAATTCAACCAGGGTACAAGAAGAAACATGTCCCGGAGAAGATTCATAAAAGTACTTAAGTTTGAAAAAAGACTTAATTGTACAAATATTAATTTATTCATCTTTTTTTACTGAAGTTTAAAGATTTTTCGAAAGTCATATTCCCACATGGGTACAATGTATGAAGCCCATTTCTGGTGTTCCCCGCAGTGGTATTGCTGGAATATTGGCATAAAACCATACTCACTTTCTCACTCATGTCGCTTTGAAAGCGTAGGCCCCCTCCATGAGTGAGTGAGTGAGAGAGTATGATTTTACGCCGCTTTTAGCAATATTCCAGCAATATCACGGTGGGGGACACCAGAAATGGGCTTCACACATTCGGGAATCGAACCCGGGTCTAAAGCGAAAGCTACCCGACACCCCACAAATATAACGAGCCCGTCTATGAGTCTTTCCATCATGCTTTAGGCGTCCCTCCCGTTTCTCTCCGACAATTACCAAACCACGCCCTCTTGTACGATGTGACAATGGGGTGCGCAACTTTTTGGCTCCGCTGGAAGGGAGGTAACTCTAAATTCAGGTTGAAGAAGACGTTAGAGGGCGTGGACCGGTTGTGTTTACACTCAACAGCTGTCGGGATATATGCACACCTCGATACTCTCCACACTAGCATATATATAACCCATTATAATTATGTATCGAGCTCATTCGCAGCCTTTGATTACTAGGGCGTATTCATGTCTAAATGAACCTGTAAATTAGTCGGGTTTTTTTTTTATTTTAGTGTGTGGTCGAGTACAGTTGACTGAGTTGTAAATTTGCATCGACATCAGGATATAAAAGACCGTTCCTGAATCACAGCTGTGTAACATAGTCGCTCAAGGGGAATCTGATACTAAGGTGGGTGTATTACCTGAAGCTATCCGTCATGGGCCGACTATATCGTCAAATCGTAACCTGTCATAGAACGGTTTGTGATTTTAATCAGTAAACTTGTCAAGTGAAGGAATCGTAAATATTGACTGTGTTTGAGCTGCATTAACGAGTTCCTATACCTATATACAAAGTATATACTGTATAAATGGTATGTAGATATTGTACACGATATTGTACAACATGTAGATATTGTACACGTGCGAAACCGCTGACAGTTCCCTATTTCCGATTTCGACCGCCTCCGTGGTCTTGTGGTAGAGCGTCCGCCCGGAGAGCGGAAGGTCCAGGGTTCGATCCCGGGCCGCGTCATACAAAAAGACGTTAAAAGATTGTACTTGTTGTTACCCTGTCTGGCGCTCGGCATTAAGGGGCTAAAACAAGGACTGGTCGGCTCGGAGTCAGTATACTGTGTCTGAGTGGGGTATTCATGTTAAACTGCGGCATGGTATCTCAGTGAGCTAGCACTATAAATCGGCATCAGTCCGGACTAGTACAAGCAGCCACACACACACATACACGTGCATGCACGTCGCTATATAAGTGCAATAATCTTGGACGCGACGTTAAACCCAATTTCACCTCACCTCACCTATTTCCGATTTCAATGGTTCAACACTATATGTAGATCTGCAATACTGAAAAATAATCATGTTCCATACTTCTTCCTTTGACAGCTGTGTATGGATTGAACCAGTAATATGCAGACACTTCTGTGAAATCGTCCAGTTGGAAATTACAATGGAGGTAGGCTACGGATCACTTGAAGAACCAGTGCCGACTTCTCCACAACAACCACAGAAAGGTAGAGACTGTAAACAAACAAGGGGCCTTCATTGTCTGGTGATACTACATATATCATGTATAAACCGTAGAAATGTCTTTTGTAGTTTGATATTACCTACTATATCCTGTCATCATCTTGTATACCCTGCTCCTAAGATTTAATAGTGTATACAGGGTTTGATGCGATGCACCATGTGTATAGTACGCACAGTTGTAGAGAATGTACGCAGAAGAAGAATATACTGCACCTGGGGATGCACAATATTCTTCATTGTACCTACAGCGCATCAGGATCATAGTGTCAAATATTTCATCCATCAATCATGACCACTGTCCACATGATCATTGATTCATTCCAGACTCTAAAGTAACTATCTAAATAACATACACTACACCATTTCATTACTTTACAGGACTACCATATAGCCTGCAAGGTCTCTAAAAATTAATTATTGGGTGTCACCATAACCCCCAATTTTGTAAGTGAAGGTAAAACCCTGTGTATAAACATTGTAGGGGATATGTATAAATATCCATAGTTGGTTGATGTCCATATTGTTGATGAAAATAGCAGGACTGTTTTGTTCTCATTGTGTGTCGGTAGTTCAGTGCGTTCAGTTTTCACAGTGGTGCCATATTGTAGTGGTATAATTTCATGCTGAAATAGATCCATATTCAACTGTGCCATGTGGTCCTTTTCCAAAACAATATCAATGTTTCCTGTAAGCTGTTGTTTCTTGGTTTTGAATTGTCCCCACACTAAACAAAATGACACATAAGTCATTGATCGAGGCGGAAGACCAATTTATTCACGCAATGTGCAGGTATGGTAACACATACTGGAGCATTCATTATACATAAGTCGAGGGTATCTGAAACATACAAAATAAATCCCATGACACTAATCATAGCATTCTACTAATACACTAGGGGGCACGGGTGGCCCTGTCGTCTAAGGCAAGAGCTAACATATGACTTGTATTGAATTCTTAAAATATTTTGAAAACTGAGAAGACTTCCGGTGTACAGCAGGGGGCACGGGTGGCCCAGTCACTGTGCAGAGTTGTGTCCCTTGGGCACGCCAGAAACCTATGATTGTGGGTTCGAATCCCAGTTCACACCAATTATGCTTCTTGGTTTGTCAGAACCATACCCGTGCTCGTGGGTTTTATCAAAGTGGTAAACGTCTGAGACCTGCATCACTTCGGGCTTTCCTCCCACCTTAAGCTGACACGCCGCGATATGACTGGATTACTGATAAAAGCGGCATTAAACCCAACTCACTCACTCACTCATATTGTAATACAGCATATTAAATATACAGACCACATTTGATAGCCCAGAACTCCAGATATCTATCTGTCAAAGCCATATGTTACCTGTTTGTCAAGGGAACTCATCAGGTCAAGGAAACCAAATCATGTAATACACTATGCTACAGCAGGAAATGCCAAATAAACCTGCGGTGACTGTAAATCTTCCAAGTATTGTTTCACGAGTTGGTATGTTGTTTTGAATGTGAACATCCATTGTTATATTATTGATTGATCAGAGCCACTTCTGTGGTGCTGTACAAGGCAAGGTCATGGCTTGGAATAGCAGTGTATTCTCTTCACATGATAAGATTACCGGTAGACAAGCAGGATTTACCAGTTATTATCGTAGTCTGGATTTCACAAAAACATTGCTGACATGTGTGATGCATTAATATTGGCTGTATCCTGATACATTATCTATATTGCTGGGTTCCATCCTCACCCCGTGCCCCCCCCCCCTAAAAAAAGAATTATGGACCCCACCAAACTGAAGCTTAGAATAAGAGTCCCCTCTAAGTTCATTGTTTTGTCTAGGAGCTAAACCAAAGTTTTTAGGAGCCACCATATATCTTAAATAGTGAGTGAGTGAGTAAGGTTTTATGCCGCTTTAGCAATATTCCAGCAAAATCACTGAGGGGGACACCAGCAATGGGCTTCACACATTGTACACACATCAGGAATTGAACCCGGGTCTTCGGCGTGATGAGCGAACACTTTAACCACTAAGCTACACAACCGCCCCATATCTTAAATAGATATTGTTGCCAGTCACGTTTACTTTTAGGTAGTCAAGTGGCGAGCAGTAGATACATTTGGTTTGCAAATCATAGATTTAAGTCGCATTTGGCCACCAAAATGGTTGCTACTTAGATGGGTGGAATGTCAACTGTCAGTGTTTAAAATTAAAATAAGATTTGTACAGTTCGGAGATAAACCTACGTTGTTTTGAAATTTGATGTAGTCCCTCTGAAAAGTAGATTCCTCTTATTTTAATTTGGAACCGAGTGCTTAGAGGCCAGCATGTTTTCTGTTAATGCTGGCACATTGACAAATCACTACCTTGCCGAATGCAGACTTTTTTATGGATCGATATGTAGGCTATCCATGTATACATAGCTTGGTTTTTGTGTAAGAGGGCTTGACATTTAGATGAGGTATTAGGCGGCAGGTGTAGCAGATCGCCGCAGATTTACCCTACAGGTAAACCCATAGAGTATGTCTAATCAATTGAAAACATTATTTGTTCTGCTCCATCAGTTCATGATATAGTCCTATTCATGTAAGTTATACATTGTATCACATCCTGCAGGATATTGATCCTATATCTCTGGTGGCATCGTTAGAGCCTGGCCTTGTACCATGTGTGTGCCATTGTATGGAGTTACAATAGCTCACATGTCACTTGCATATGGGACGTGGCAGTCATAGACCTGAACCTCATACATGTTAAATAGGCAAATAGGAACGCATGGACCTGTTACTGATTAATGTGTTTTGCAACGATTAGCAGCTGTAATTGTATCTCTGTTTTTCTCCCTTTAAACAATTTTGATATTTCCTTGTCGCTCCACAGAGCTACAGGTTGTTTCATGGTGATTCTCGATTTGGAACTAACAACCCTGCCGAACATGAATCGTAATTCCATACAAACTGCAATGAGCTTCGCCTCCGAAAAAACTCGTCTTCAAATATGCATACTTTTATTTTCAATCTTTCTATGTACTTAAAGGGTTGGGATCATCTGGAGGTATGGATTTTTGGCATAAAAAGACTTTACCGGTCCGGTTTGCTACTCGATAAGTAGATATATTGTACAGTAAACCACACTTATAACGTACACGTATATTACGAAATGACGGATAGAAGGAACTGTTTGTTTGGCCCCGGGCCTTTTGCTGTATATTTCATCATATACAATTGATGGATACAACAAAAGCGCTTAAGACGAAATAACAGATCTAGCGAACACACTTGTTGTCCTGTGTGTACCCTGTCACTGATATTGTTTAAGTGTATAACAAACTGTTAATCACTGAGCTGAGCTTACCCCGAAGTGCTGACACCGTGTCCTCAAATTACACCCTCAATTAACAATAGTAACGCAGTTATTTGGCTATAACCTTTGAAGTGGATATATTCTGTGTATAAAATGCAATGACTAGAGTGAGGAAAATCAGTATTGATAAACTTACGATGGCACTCACACCTCGCAAGTGGAAAGCTTTAAACATTGATGTTAAGTTTCAAATCATCTCTGCTGTTGATGCTGGATAGAAATCAAAGGAAGAAATTGCAGATGAATTCGGTGTCCCTCAATCCACTTTGAGTACGATCATCAAGCAGAATGAGTCCATCATTGACTTCATCAAAAATATCTGACAGCATCTTCCTGAGGCAAGAGAATTAACTGACTTAAAACTAGGCTGGAATTCCTGGGCTCGATCGTAGCGCCACCAGTGGTTATTACGAGTTATGTCCCTTCTAAACCTCTCCTATGCACCAATCAGATTCCACCTCTCGTATCACTTGTATTTGATTCAAACAAAATGGTGGCGCCCAGTCAAGACAATCTGATCGATAATCAAGATCTATATTGTCATAAAACGGGTCTTACATCGCGAAGAGCATCAAATCACGTGACCACCTTGATTAAAATCATGAAAAGATTTGGAAAATATCTGTTGACAAGAAGTTGCAAATCCTGCAATCAACCGAAATCAGCATGACAGTTTACAAACCGGATTTCGATTATGTTGCGCGATTTTGATTGGACTATGCATAGACTCATAAGCCCAGCCAAAATGTAACTCCATAATTCCAGCCAAGCTCGGCAAGGGTGGAAACTGGACTTTTATAGTCAGTTTACTCGCTTGCCTCGGGAAGATGGTCTGACAGTTGAAATGCTAATAACGAACTAAAATTTGTGTTCCATTTGAGTTCGTTAAAGCCGTAGTTTATTGAACTCGTATTTGGCGACAAGTGTCTCAGGAAGTGAATCAAGGTGCTTTTGTTGTAAGATGAAGATGTATGCACTTTGTTGAAGCTTATAAAGTGTGATGCAGATCTTGATAACTGACCAATGCATCCATGTCGGGGGCCCAGGTGGCCCGGGAGTATACGGTGTCACAATGGTGTGTGTTGAGTAGGTTGAGTCCGTAATGATGTCATCATGATCAATTTCATTAAAATCAGATTTCAGTTCTCGCTGCCACTTAACAAAGATCTGAGGACATCCCATTACGGGTCACGTCAGAACGACCTTTCGCGAACTTTGACCGACCACTGAAATGACTAACAAGAAGTCAACGTCAGCCAATTAGAAAGCAGTTTTCTCGAGATTTACGGCACTCGTTTCAACCTGGCGACTTCCATTTCAGACTATGCTTGAGAGATATGTTGACACAGTTCTCGATTCAAATTTTTAAAACTGAACAAACGAACATTCCGGAAGGATGATGATCAAGGGCATTAACCACTTCAGTGAAACCCATGGGGATGGTGCTGACAAACCTACCATCATAGTCTGGGACTCGAACCCACATCCTTACATGGTATAAGGTATAACACCCCATTTCCCTGAATTTCAGCCACGACAGTTCAACAATAACAGGCAACATTTGTCTTGATGATACTACTACTACTACTAATAATAATAATATACTGTTTTCCATCCAGAATGTGGTTGCTTAAAACACACTTAATTATTACCCTGGTCAATGGATCCACTCAAGAATCATTTACAACTCCCTGGGGAGTATACAAATGGTCTATGATGACTGTGGTGAACAGGTGCTCTGAGTGAAGCATGGTAATCTTGCTGTATTGCTTAATGAGGGATGACAGTCCTACAAGCATGAATTGATTCCTTGATACAAATATGCATGTAATCAGCTTTCTAGGTAGCAACTATCCAATTCTCATGGCTGTATGCCTAGTAGGGCTGTTACGATTCACTCGCGTATTCGGTGAATCGAACCGTATCCATTCATGAATTGAATTCGTTATTCGTGGCCACTAGAATCAAATATTTATGAATGTGCAAGCATGTGCCTTTACATTACAATATCCATAAGAACATATTATATGCATAGATTTCTTCAAAAGACAACACTCTTATACTATATAATTTGACAGTATTGTGGTCAATGGTCATTGTCACATTTGAGCAGATACTAGTACCTGGATAAGAGCAGTATATAAATGTATAATATATTGATAATTAACAAACCATGTCAAATAGTGTATGTTGTTATTACTACACTGCATATAACAAATAATACATCAGCTGCTGACTTGTTATTGTATTCGAGAATTAATATTCGTATTCATTACCCTATATTCATGATACGAATCGTATTCACCTCATAGTGTTTTCGTTCCAGCCCTAATGCCTAGAATGTAATCTTGTATTCAGACAGACAATTTTCTTGTTTTTCTGAACAGGCCACAGGCCCATAATACATTTTTTTAATACATTATGCATTTTTAGCTCAAAGTTCCGAAGGACCAAGGTGAGCTTATGCCATACTGTTTCGTCCGTCGTCCATACGTCAACAATTTTTCCAAATTTTTTCAAACGACTTCTTCTTCTGAACCACTAACTGGAAATTAAAGAAATTTGACTGGAAGCATCCCTAGGTGGTGGGGATTAAAAATTGTACAAATGGAGGGGCTGAGGGGTGGGGCCAAATAGGGGTAATTTGGCTATATTGCTTTAAGCAACTTCTTCTCTGGAACTAAGAGATAGATATCAACCATATTTAGAATTCACGTAATACAGTCACATGCCACTGTCGTACTCATGTTATATGAAAGAAATTGTACTCTTGGCCACAAGGCCTTCAATACTGAATAAACTCTCTCTGACTCTCTCTCTCATATTTGGATGGAAGTATTCTCAGGTGATGGGAATTCACAATTGGAGGGGCTGACACCCCCAAGGGGCTGAGGGGCGGGGCCAAATAGGGGTAATTTGGCTATATTGCTTGAAAAGACTTTTTCTCTGGAACTAAGAGATAGATCATGTAGATATCAACCATATTTAGAATTCACGTAATACAGTCACATGCCACTGTCGTACTCATGTTATATGAAAGAAATTGTACTCTTGGCCACAAGGCCTTCAATACTGAATAAACTCTCTCTGACTCTCTCTCTCATATTTGGATGGAAGTATTCTCAGGTGATGGACATCAACCATATCTGGTTGGAAGTATTCTCCAGTGGTGAGGGGGGCACGGATGGCCCAGTCGTCTAAGGTGCCTCAATTCGCTGTACAGAGTTGCGTCCCTTGGGCACGTCAGAAACCTATGATTGTGGGTTCAAATCCCATTTCGCCCCGATTATGTTTCTAGGCTTGTCAGCACCATACCCGTGCTCCTGGGTTTTACCAAAGTGGTAAACGTCTGAGACCTGCATCACTTGGGCTTTCCTCCCACATCAAGCTGACACGCCATGATATAACTGGAATACTGTTAAAAGCGGCGTTAAACCCAACTCATTCAGAGGATTTACAATTGTACAAAGAGATCCCCACCGTATAACCGTATGTACAATTGCGGAGTAATGAGAGGAACGCATGTACGCTACCAGGACTGGCCCTTCTGTTCATCTGTCCAGCACTCCCAAAGGAGTTAGAACCTTGACTATAACATACAAACCGATATTATCCTTACCCTATAATAAACAGATGCACTGTGTATATTTGTTTGTTATGAAGAGAATAATACATTTATGCCAATAGGATTTGCCCTGGGGTCCAGCCTTGCCCCTGGAAACAGATCCTGAACTATACCATGGAAACAGTTCAGATCTTTATGCTACATTTGTATCAAGAGAAGTACACGTTCATGCTGTCAGATTTGCCATCCACCCCTTTTGAAAGCTGACAGAGTCAAAATTACGAAATATTTTCAGTATTATATACATGTACAATGCAAATGTATATTTGTGTCATGATTGTGTAAATATCCAGGTGAGCGAAACAGGCCATTGAATTTATACAACATACATTAGTATGGCATGATAAATTAGGCATGCTGGCGTTGAATACATACATATGTATATCAAATACATGTGAGAAATATGTTTGCATAAACAATCAGCTAAGCTTCATGAACCATTTCTCAGGCATGACTTATGACACATGTTTATATGTTGCATGAACTTTTCAGCGAGTATAACAATTTCATTTCCTGACAAAGAGGTATCAGGTGTTTCTTAATTTGTAGGTTTTAGCCAAGTCTAAACCCATGTTATGAAGGACAAAATTATCACCTGTTTAAATTAGCTGTGTGAATTTAATTAGAGATGGATAATCAATGTAATATAGCAAGAGAAAAATTCATTGTCTTTATTACAAAATAATTAGCTTGTCACATCCTTATATTTCTAATGTTTTATTTTACTGAATGAAAAGGTGAGCTCCTGTACCTGTGTTACTCAGGTTTGTAAAGCGCCAACATGGGTGTATTTGTTTCTGACAGCGTGAGGATGATGACTGAGAGTGATCAAGAAGACGAAACTCTGTTTGATCTTCTGGCTTCTGGGGAAGGTAGGCGGGTAGCAGATGACAGATCCTTCTCTCCCCTCTCTCTGTAACCCAGTCTGGTGTCCTGGTGTGATGTCGTCAGGTGTCCTGGTTTGGTGTCGTCAGGTGTCCTTGTGTTGTATAGTGAGGTGTCTTGTGCTGTATAGTGAGGTGTTGTCAATTGCTGTTGTATTCATGGCTTTAGTTATAACAGTGCTTACATTCAATATGTTCAAGAATATGTACCAAAGAAGCTTCAATTATGGGTAAAAATGTTGTGAAATGTTCACAATTTTTAATACTTTGCACATAGAAAAACACCTGAAGATTCTTCACACAAGCAACGCTACCTTAGTATCTGCATCTTTGTGAGATGGTAAATGTGAAAGTGGGCACAATTTATGCATAACAACTTCTTTGATATACAGTAATTGCAGCGTTTCCGTATAGAACCTTATACTATGGCTGGGTACCCACCCCCTAGTACCCACCCCCGTATTACCCGACCCTACCCGGGTACCCACTGTAGGTCTCAAGAGGTCGGTACAAACTGTCCGATTGGGAAAAGTTTGACCGTAGCTCTGGTAAAATGAGGGCGGTCGGGTAGCCTAGTGGTTAAAGCTTTCGCTTGTCACGCCGAAGACCTGGATTCGATTCCCTGACATGGGTACAATCTGTGAAGCCCATTTCTGGTGTCCCCCGCCGTGATATTGCTGGAATATTGCTAAAAGTGGCGTAAAACCAAACTCACTCACTCTGGTAAAATGTGTTTAGATACATGCATGAAACGATCTGGTGTATACAAAGAAGTTGACTGAAGTTTATATTTATTCAAACATATATAAGTCAGAAAGAATGGGCGTAGTAGTCAGGAAGAACAGAGAATATTAGTGACTTGTAGTTTAAACATAGAGTTTTCGATACTGTTTGTCATTAAACAATATATCACATGACTAACCAAGGGTCCGGGAAGTCCTGTGGGTACCCGGGTTCTCCTCAGTACCCACCTGACCCGAGTACCCGAGTTACCCATCCCAGCCCTACCTTATACCATTGTCAAGTAAGACTGTGGTACATAATTATATAACCATCCGGGTTAGAATAGGTCTTCGACAACCCGCTGTAAAAGGCAAATATGCTTGTCATAAGAGGCGACTAAGGGGATCGGGTGGTCAGGCTTGCTGACTTGGTTGATACATGTCATTGTCTATTGTATGTATGACGTTGTTGACTGGCTGTTTCCCACATTGCATGCTGACTGATGCATGTTTCCATGGCTCCTGTTATCTGTTGTTGTTTTTTTGTTTATACAATCTGTTTGCAATCCAAGATGCACTTGTTGTTCGGCCCAGTGTAAACTCACTGTTCAAGTGTTCACAAACCTTTAGATTGCAGATTATGAGAGACTGCAGAGATGAAACTATTCCTTAGCATGGGTGGCTGAAGACCTATTCTATCCCTGATCCTGATGCATGTCGTAAAAGGCGACGACACTTGTTGTAAGAGGCGACTAACGGCATCGGGTGGTCAGGCTCGCTGACTTGGTTGATGCATGTCATCATATCCCAATTGCGTGGATCGATGCTCATGATGTCAATCACTGGATTGTCTGGTCCAGATTCGATTATTTACAGACTGCCTTCATATAGCTGAAATATTGCTTTGTGCGGCGTTAAACAACAAACAAACAACTAATGAGTTTATAGTGGGCGAGTGGGCTGAAACAGCCATACAGATGACTACTGTTCACTTGTTTAGTCTTGCTTGACAACAGTATTAGGATCTGTACCAAAACATCGTCATTGCACTATATTAAAGAAGCTGTAATCCATAAATTGTGTCTACTTTGCCATCCATAAATTTTAAAGAAATGCCTATCGAAAAATACATGTGCAAAGGTGTTCAAATATGTGGAGAATTTCATGCATTTTCAATCCATAGACAAAATCTATGGTATATCTGAGTATGTCATTTATGCAAAGGTATTCTAAGGTGGGGAAATAAGTTCGGTTCTCATGTGCTGATTATAAAGCATGACAGCATGTTTCCTTTGCTCATTTTCAGATAAAAACACTTTCTGTCAATTCTTGAGAATCTTGATAAATAAATTTGATTTCATCGCCACCAGCTGACACAGCGATTGTAATATTTTTCAAATTTATAGAAAAATAGGTTAACATCAACTTTACAAAGGTCACTGCTTGAGAATCTCTGTTGATCTTTGTAGTCTGATTTTTTAACACTTGATATTTCTGTTTTGTAAATATTACCTAGTTGTTGCTGTTTTGAAAATACTGCTTCTGCTCTCTCCGTAGCATCTCCTGATACCACTTGGCTGAGTGCTTCTCTCCTACTCGTGCTTCACTTAATGGCTGCTATATATCAGATATATATATATATCAAATAACAGCAGCGCCGGAAAATTGAGAAAACAGCTGACAGTAATACCTCATTAACGAGGGTTTTGTTCACTCAGCGTTAAACATGATGTCATTTGGTCCTTTAATGATTTAAAATGATTGGACGCTATAATTGTTGCTAACAGTATCAGTAGATTAAAATTAGTGTATGTATTTGTGTTATAAGTGAAATAAGATGGGAATCAAATTCATCCTGCTATAAGCTATGCGATGTTCCTTGTTGACAGTCTTGTGGGAATTCTGTGTCAAAGTCCCACCTACTTCTGATTAACAATGGTGTTTTTCACTTGGATGATTGCACGCAACATACATTCGTTAGAATTGGTCTTCAGCAACCCATACTTGTTGTAAGAGGCGACTAACAGGATCGGGTGGTGTGGCACGCTGACTTAGTTGATGCATGTCATCGTATACCAATTGCGTTGATCGATGTTCATGACATCAATCATTGGATTGTCTGGTCCAGACTTGATTATTTACAGATCCACGTCATATAACTGGAATATTGCTGAGTGCAGCGTTAAACAACAAACAAACAAACAAACAAACAAACAACATATGTACCCTTTCTACCAAAAGCATGTTACGTGAAACAGTTGTGGTGTCTGTTAGTTTGTGGTGTCATGCAGCATATTAATATCAAAGCTTACGATAGCTGCATGTCTTACCATCAACATCGGGTTGTTTTGTTGTCTATTGTATGTATGATGATGTTGACTGGCTGTTTCCCACATTGCATGCTGACTGATGCATGTTTCCATGGCTCCTGTTATCTGTTGTTTTTTGTTTATACAATCTGTTTGCAATCCAAGATGCACTTGTTGTTCGGCCCAGTGTAAACTCACTGTTCAAGTGTTCACAAACCTTTAGACTGCAGACTTTTAAGATCATCTTTTTATTTTTGTAAGAAAAATACATAATTGATTTTATCTACTGTTGATATTTTTTCAAATAGTGTCCATAATTTTGTAATGCATGTTCTCAATTGAAACATTCATATTTAATAATTTTATAATCTTGTAAAATAATGTTACCATGGTTACGGTCAGTGTTCTTGCCTTCTTTATACAGAATATATGTACCGGGTATTATGTGTTAATATAATAATG